AAAAAAAAAAAAGGCTCAATAAATGGTAGCTATTTTCCTTTATTCTGTGTTTGAAACTTAATTTTTGATATCCTGCTTTATAGCTAATATGACAGGTACTGGATCCACAGGATATAAAGCTTAGTGAGGATGGCTTTTCTGAAAACAGTTTCGAGGCAATCTAGGAAAACAATACTCATCAACAGAAATCACAGCACAGGGTAAAGAATCAACATGCGGCATTAACAGCCCTACAGAGAGTTAAGGCTTTCAACATAAATGCGCCTAGTGAATGACCATGTCACTGAATCCCCACCGCATACAAGCTGTACCTTTGCTGACAGAATCCAATCAGCAAAAGATGGAGCTTCTTTTTTATAAACAGGATTGAGAAAATACTCAAAGAGAAAATCATGGACTGGCGGCCACGGCATCTGACCAGGTGGAACAGGTACTGCACCTCCGCGCTACGACACTTCCTGCCTCTGTTAGAGAGAAGCCGAGGAGAGGACGTAGAAGACGACCACAGAGGAGAGCTGCTCAAGCAGCTGGGAGACTACCGGGTAAGTGCGATGGCTCTAAACTGAGCCTGTGGACTGCATTTCAAATTGGAAATTGCTTGGTAATGGATTTTTGGAATCAAAATGCTGACTCTGCTCTCCAAAGCACATAGATGTAGTGGCATAGGCTAAAGGATGTAATTAAAAGTTCACATCTCAGTAATTAAGCTATTATTAAACAGCAAAATGCCTCCAGACACTGAAAATGCTGAGAGTAATGCAATGAAAAATACCTTAAATAAAATGCATTCAAAAGTCTTGAATACAATTAAAATATCTGGCTATATCCTATTAGGCTCAACTGTGCATAAAGGTGAAACCAACCAGGGGCGCCTGGGTGGCTCCGTCGATTAAATGTCCGACTTCGGCTCAGGTCATGATCTCGCGGTCCGTGAGTTCAAGCCCCGCATCGGGCTCTGTGCTGACAGCTCAGAGCCTGCAGCCTGCTTCGGATTCTGTGTCTCCCTCTCTGCCCCTCCCCCAAAATTAAATTTTGTGCTCTGTCTCTCTCAAAATTAAATTTAAAAACGTTTAAAAAAATTTTAAAAAAAGGAAAATTCTCATTAATACGTGTGCCCTCCTGCCTGTCAGTAGTGCTGTGTTCACATCCTACAGCCAGATAATAAAACCTAGAAAGCAGTCTCAAACTAAGACAGTAAGCCTTGTTGGCTGAACAGCATGACGTCAAGTTGGACATTTAATTCTATTCACGGACTACAGCTAGGTTTTCAGCGAGGCTGTCTTCAAGGAACAAAACACGTAATTCAGTCTTGGGCAATGAAAAGAATTCATTGGCTTATTTAAGTCACAGTATCAGAGTGCACCAGTCTTCTTGAAGTCTTTCCACCCTGCCCTCCACCGCGCAGCGGTGTTGGGCTCGCTGTTTTCATGGTATCCAATAGCGGAACAGCTCCAGGGCAGGACTCACGTCTGCACGCACACTGTGCAGAGCAGGCGAGAGCATCTGTGTGCCATTATTCCTATCCAGTTTCCTGAGACTCACTTTGACAGATCAGTCAGTGTGGCCACAGGGAAAGAGTGTTGATTAGCTGAATCCAGGTCCCTGGAAACACATGGGTTACCACACAAACTCGGGGCTATCAGGCAGAGAGAAAGGAAGTGGAGGGTGGCTGGGTGCTAACAGCTGTCTTATACACCAATATACTAGCAACTAAACAAAAGAGCCATCTGGCCCCTCTCCATTTTGTGTATTGCTAATATATAGTTGGATAGAAGAGCAGAACTAAACAAGTGACTTTGAGATGCAGAAGAAGACAAGAGAATTAAGAATTGCGTATGTTTACATGAAGAAAAAATACAATGAAATCTTCAAGCTTCACTAATGACTATAAATCTTGGTTGTGTTTTTTTCCTTCAGTTCTCTGGATTTCCCCTTCACATGCCCTATTCTGAACTGAAGCCTTTAATTGAAGCAGTATATAGCACTGGAGTACATAATATTGATGTTCCTAATGTTGAATTTGCTTTAGCTGTATATATCCACCCATACCCCAAAAATGTTTTGTCTGTTTGGATCTATGTTGCCTCTCTCATACGCAACAGGTAACTTTTTTCATCGTATACTTTTTGTATCATGTAGAAACTATTTCATAGGACAATAATCTTAAGTGATATTGATCACATCAGAAGGAAGAAATTATTTGTAAATAATGAAAATGATAGTTTTCAAAATAAATGTTTTTATTTAGTAGTCTGTCTTGCCTTCTGCCACCCTGACCCTCAATTCAATTCAGGCTACCCACAGTTCCCCTCACACTAATAGGCTTCCTACCTATGCCACTGTGCTTACCTTCCACTTGGAAAGCCCTTCCTCTTTGCCTGTCCAGCAGAATACCATTACACTTTTAAGATCCAGCAAAACAACACAACTTTTCTGAGGGAAAGAGGAAAAACTTTGCAATACGGAGTTTGTATGTTTAATGCCAAATACCTTAAGACCTTATCCTACAGAAATACTGAGCAAATGTGCACAAGTACACAAATGTGCACACACGCACACACACACTCCTACTGAAGCAATATAGTATTTTAGGGAGGAAAAAAGAAATATACTTAAACATGCACCAAAAGGGAAGCCATTTAAGAAATTAAGACATGGCTATGGACTGAACATTTGTGATCCCACAAAATTCCGGTCTTGAAACCCAAATCCCCTATGTAATGGTATTTGGAGATAGGTCCTCTGGGAGATTATGAGAGTGGAGGCCCTGTGTTGGGATGAACACCATCATTTGAGAGGAGAGAGTCTGCTTCCTTTCTTTAGACCATGTGTGGATACAATGAGAAGAGGGCGGTCTGCACACCAGAAGAACAGCCCTTACCAGAAGCCAGATCTGCCAGCACCTTAACTAACCCTGGACTTCCCAGCCTCCAGATATATGAGAAATAAATGTTGTTTAAGCCACCCACCACTGTTATAACAACCCAAACAGACTAAGACAGACACAGACACTACTATAGTAAGCCATTAAAAGGATTAAAGGTAGGGGTGCCTGGGTGGCTTAGTCTGTGAAGCATCAGACTTCGGCTCAGGTCACGATCTCCCAGTTCACGAGTTGAAGCTCTGCATCAGGCTCTCTGCTGTCAGCACAGAGCCCACTTCAGATCCTTGGTCTCCCTCTCTCTCTGCCCCGGCCCCGCTTGCACTCTGTCTCTCTCAAAAATAAACATTAAGGGGCAACGGGGTGGCTCAGTTGGTTGAGCATCTGACTTCAGCTATCTGACTTTGGCTCAGGTCAGGATCTCGCATTCTGGGAGTTCGAGCCCCATGTGGGGTCTGCGCTGACAGCTCAGAGCCTGGAGACTGCTTCGGGTTCTGTCTCCCTCTCTATCCCTCCCCAGCTTGTGCACATGCACTCTCTCTCTAAAACTAAATAAACTTTAAAAAAATTTTAACAAAAATTAAAAACATTTAAAAAAAATTTTTAAAGGTATTAAATGTATGTGCTAACATGGAAAGATATACACAAAACAGAAATACATAAAGCAGGATTTCTCAGCAGAAGCACTACTGACATTCTGGGCCAAGTAGTGTGTGGCTGCGGAGGGCTGACCTGTTCATCAGAGGATGTTTAGCAGCACCCCTGACCCCTCCCCACTGGATGCCAGTTGCATCCCTTCTTGCCAACTCTGCCAAGATGTGACAACCAAACATGTTTCCAGATGTTGTGTAATGTCCTCTGTGGGATAAACTACCTCCAGTTGAGAACCAGTGATTAGCTGGAATCACTTAAAAAAATAATAAAAATAAAAATAAAGAGGGACCAATTAAAGAAAAACTTTCACCTTTTGTTTTACTCCCTTATGCCTTCCTCTATCAAATTATATCACTTATGTATTTACAGGCCCCTGATAACTCAACTATGAACTCTTAAGGGAGAGTTCAAAGACTGACCCCTAACGGTCATTACCAGGGTAATCCATGGACAAGTTAACCCCTCTGCTACTTATTTTCCCCATAAGATCAAAATGATCACATGACTTACTTCGTTGCACTGTTTAAACAAGTCAGTATATGTAAGTACAGGTACTTAGAACACCACCCAGCACTGATTGAGCACCTGATGTCAGGCACCCCAAGGCATTTTACATTAACTTGTATTTTATTCTAAGAATGAACAGTCCCAATAATTCGTGAAATCAATTACAAAACCCAAGGTAAATGTAAAACAAGTATATATAGTGTTTCATCAAATACTAAATAAGTATCCCCTGAAGTTAATGTATAAAAATTAGATATAACTTATGTTGTCTATCTCCCCATGCAACTAAAGGAGAGGTAGAGTAGGAAAACAGTGAGTCTCCATATAACAACGTGCTGACACACCGAAGTCCATTTAGTCCAAGACTGCCAAGGCCTATTTAATGGTTTGCTGATATCAAGAAGCACAGGACAAAGGGAGACACCTCAATTACCTGGTACCCCTGAGGAAATTAGCCGCTCAAATTAATTAACTGAAAAGGATAACATTTAAGTCAAGTTCTGAAACAATGAATCATGATTTTTTCCCATAAGTGTTATCAAAATTTCTCCTCCCCAAATAGTATACTGTTCTGTGGTTACATGGAGGATAAACTTCACTCATCACTCGATTACTCAGGGCCAGGAGTCCAGAGGAGTAATTCTACTTACGATTCATGTAAATACAGACAAGATGCAGTTGGGGTTGGATGGACTCACTCCAGAAGAATTCTCGTAGTTTGTTTTACTGAAATGGTCCCCGATGGGAACTGCTCAAATCAGGTTTATTAAACACTTAAGGAAATAAAAATACAGTAACTACAAGAGAATCAACCTTACAAAATAAAACTTCAGATCCTGTAAGTGCTAAGCTCAGATTTCCTTCCAAGCTAAGGGAATCAAGAAGTCACTTCTTTGTGCTTAGGCCAGACTTCTAAAGGAGGTGACTAGGTGCCACAGAACCACCTAAGAGGTACAAGCTCAAACAAGTAAGATGGTCTGCTTACACAGCTGTCTTTTCCTACATGCAAGAAACATTTTGCAAGTGTCAGCTGTGACACAAGGAGAGAACCCTGACAAGAGGGGAAACTTCGGAGTCATTATCATAGCCACGCCCCAAGAGGTGGGTCTCCCTGCCATGTTTAATTCAAATGATAGTGAGACTTAAAAGAACAGGTGGATTTCAGGGGCGCCTGGGTGGCGCAGTCGGTTAGGCGTCCGAC